AACACTGAATTACAAGTGGTTTAGACACATTGAACATTAAAATGGTGTATGTGACCCCTGTTTATGCCCCTGAGGTCATCTTAGGTCACGAATGGTATCTAACAGTTTTTCGCAAATAACTTTTGATAGAGGCATGCTAGAGCGATGAAAATGCCTTAGATGTGTTCAGCTCAACGATAAGCATCGACTGATATGCAGCATGACCCTTTCCGGTCAGGTCATGACCTTGACCTGAGGCCAAATTTTCAAGTTGACCTTTCAAGGTCAAATTATAGTTCATTCGATACGTCTTGACGAGAGGAACACGATGCCGGTAAAAGTAAGCTCGTACAAGGCTTGGGTCAAAAGTTATTGCAGAAAAACTGTTTCCGAAAAATCGGCTATTTTTGCAGTTTTTGCCCCCTGCAGGCAAAACCGTTGACGTTAGGTCAAATCTGAGAGAATTACTCAGAAAGGGCGTTAATAGGGCTATCGAATGCGCTTTTCCGCGGCGCTGTAGCTCTATTGGTTCCCGAGTTATGCGCTGGCTTCTTTGAAATTGTCGACATTCGACCTGGAAATCGGCAAGATTTTGACTTCAATGACCTCTGGTGACCTGACCTTTGACCTGACTAAAAAATTGACCGAAGTGATTTCGTCATTATTTTTGGCGCTCTTTCGAACGCCGCCTTCCGCGTATCGCTACGTGGCCCAGGAGCCGAGTTAGAAGGGGGGTGTTCAGACACCCCCCAGCAGGGCGTGGAAATCCAGGACCCCCAACCGGGCGCGGGTTAGCAATCAGTCCCGAGTTATCTTCATATACGTCTAATATAAATATTTTTGACTTCAACTACCTACATAGATTCCAACTAAGGGGATTTATCCCCCTGGCGGCAGGTATGTAAAAGGTATAGTTAGGGCATTGCTCCTATAGATGACGCTCTTTGACAGCTAGAAATTGAGAATTTCGTCCTGCGATACGCTAACGCCTAACAGCTATGCCGAAATGTTTTTTTCTTGTACATGGTGATTCTTACACGAAAAACTATCTATAGTCCATTTTATTTCAAAAGGCGCACGGCTCGAAAATCGATTTTAGAATTGTCACGTGCAAAGTGATGGCTTTGACAGAAATCAACGAACACCGGCTTGGCACGTTTCGAAATCAGACTGGTCGGCTCGGTCGGCTGGTCTCTGATTTACGATAGTTTTGAGAGAAGTATAGACATACGACTCATAATGAGGAACTGTGAATCGAAAATGCTTCCACACGGGATCTAGCCATAGGCACTAAACAAATGGTTAAGATGATTACGTGGATGACTTGTTTGCAGACCTACAAAAGTAACACACGGATTGGCATTTTGTTTTACGTTTATTTCTGTTGAGTATAAAAAGAAACATGAGCCAGCATATCTGCCGATCTAGTACAATGCTGATCGATCGATTCCTGCATTGGGAAGAAGTCGGGTATGCGCCTACTAAATCTGGAAAGACTCATAAAAAGATTACTGAAGTTTGCACGTAGCATGTGAGAACACAATGTAAGACAACAATATGGAACGTCACCAGCTTCAGCAGCTAACAATGACATGATGAGTGAGCCTGCCGTTCAGAATTCTGGCGCCCGACAGAGCCTTGTAGCAAAAAAATATTGTTCTGTCTTGATTATTTAAGGATTTGCCGCTTGTTATTTCTCAAGTGATGGCCTGGCTGTGGAATCAAGGTTAATCTAGGAGTGACGTTAGATTAGCATGCAAATTCAACAGAATGGAGAATGGCTCAAACATGGGCGTAGGAACGGCTGGAACATTGCGGGTGCATGGTGCAGAAATCCAGCCATGGCCGGTGAAGCGGGGGGGGGGGGGGGGGTAGTGAGCGGCTCCCGAGCGGAGGCTCATTGCGAGCTTTGAGGGTGTAGAACTAGAGTAGAAGGTCCAGATAAGTGCATTTGGAAGCATGGATAATGTCAATATTGGACTACCGCATAAAGTAAAAGCGAATTTCTTAGTCATTTTTGAAGATATCGGGATAAAACTTTTGCCAGTTGGTCATCAGTAGGTATGTATTCAATCACTTGTGCTCCATTTCTTCTTTTTTAACCTGAGCACAAATGTAAGTTTTGAAGACTATCACAGTAGCAAATGCTTCTAAAAATGGATAGTGGGCAAAATATCCTGAATTTGTAGTGCTGCATGGGAAGTAGTGTTGAGAAAAGGAGTTTTTGTTCCAGATTATTGCGGGTGCAGATTACATTGTCTGCACCCACTGGAAAATTATCATGCGTGCAACTGCACCCACTGCACCCATGGTTCCTACGCTTATGGGCTCAAATATATGAACTTACTAACATTCTGCAATATGACACGATTTATAAGCTAAATTGAACAACTTGCTCCGTTGCACTGTGCTTATCTTTCAAAAATGGCCGAGAAATTCAAGATCTCAGCTTGCGTTATTTTCTAGCGTCTCGCATGTGCCAACTCCAAAATAATACTTCGGGCCATGAGCCTTTTGAAAAAATGAACTATAATAGTCTGCTAACCAGCGTGCGATTTTTTACTTTTCACCTGAGTTTTCGCTACTTTTAGGTACTTTACCTTGTCAAGTCAAGTGCCCACCTACTTTCAGAAGGTCAGCGCCGCCCCTGTCATATCCAGCAGGAGCTGCGTGCTATCACTCATTGGCAGTGAGAAAAATTGATCAATGGCCATCGCACAGCACCATTTGTCTTTCCATTGGCTACGTTCGCATAGTATGCACTATGCATTAGTGATGTCAATCACAGAAAATCAGAACACCGATACCAAACCGAATACAAACCAAAACCATTGGAAAATACCGAAACCGAACCGATCCGTTGGACTGCAAATATTTATCTTATACAACATGTTCATTAGAAAAATACTTACCTCTGATTTCTTAGGTGCACACCGTTGCAAATGTATCCAAAAAACGCATAATGACAGATGACACGAAAATTGAAGTCACCGAGTGGATTCGAACCACCAACCCCCGTATCACCAGTTCGATACTCTAACCACTTCGCCACGGCGACAACACATGTAAGGCAGCTTAAATATCCTTAAGTTAACCCGGCAGTTGCTGGGGTATTTCGCCACCCACCGTTTGCTGGGGGGGGGGGGCGTTAAACGCCCCCAGCCGATAACTCGAGAACCAATAGGCGCAGCGAAACGCACGAGGCGGCAAACGAAAGAACGCGACGAGACGCTTCAGATGAGTACTTTTAAGTTGAATTTTGAGGTCACAGGTCAGGTCAAGGTCAGGTCAAACACCTGAAATCGGGCTTTCAGTAGCATGGACTTCAGGACTTCGCAATGGGCGCCTCTCGTCATAAACTCTGTCAAAACGGTGCACAATCCATCATATAAGGCCTACAAGAGTGTCAGCTCCATGCAGGGGTCAGTCAAGCATAGGTCAGGGTCAAGGTCAGGTCAACCGGGCGGGTGCATATCCCCGAAAATAAAAACTGATATTCGCAGCCTGTGACACATGTTTTATGGGTAATTTGGGGCGTAGAACACGATGGTGACATTCATTTTATCATATGTGTACGTGTTTGGCTAAAAAAGTTCAATTTAAGATATTCATGTATCATGGTCGTGAAGTAGTCACGAGAAATTGCCAAGATTCAGTTCAAGATTTTGGAAAATGCGGAACGATAATCAATAATCGAAGATAGCCATTTGATTCTTCATGGTATTGGCAGTCTAATGGCATTTACGGCATGTCTATATGTCTATTCTGTGATTTTATATGATTTTTTGAACATATGCCGTTTTTGGTCGAAAACTCAGAAATCATGACGTCACTAAAACCTCGATATCTCAAAAATTTTCCGACTGATTTTTTTGAAACTTTGTCACAATAAACTTCAATCAATTTCCTACAGGTACCCAAAATTTGGCGCGCCTGCGGCGCGCCGTTTTTATGCTATGGCCCGGCGAAAAAAGTGGGGGCGTTTAACGCCCCCCCCCCAGCAACTCGCGGGTTAAAACCTAGCTTCAATAGACGCCACCAAGGGTGAGGACCGAACGTATGACGCCACGCTGACGTCACTCAAGAGGCACGCTATTGGTCGGCCGATTCGTGTAATACACTTGGCGAATACGCGCCCCGGGGAGAGCTGTGGGATACCTCCCCGGTGACCTGACCTAAGCTAAATTCAACTCAAAATGACCTCGAATGACACAAACGACATCAAATTCGAAATCTGTGGCCTAAATGGACCATAAAACATGTGTCACGTGACCGACGCATGAAATAATATTTCCGTGACCTGTGATGACCTGACTCTGACCTGAAAATCAAAGTACAAGTTTGGTACCCTCAGGGTATCTAAAGCATCTATTCACGAGTGTGTAAACCAAAAATGAGCCTGATTTGACTTGTAAGACGGCGGCCAGACCCCAAAATGTGAGACGGCGGCCAGACCCCAAAATGTGAACAAGCCAGAATGCTAATAATTTTTACTTTGACCTGATCTGTGACGTCATCGGTGACCTCGAGGTCAATGCAATTAGAATTCGCCCGACAGTTTTCCCGGGGCTATCAGACACCGTTTGAATTTTGACGATTAGCCCAGTTGTTTCGGAGGTAGGAGGGGGAGGGGGGCTATGAAGAGCCCCCCCCCCCAGTAGGGCGCGTTATACGCAGACCCTAATGGGCGCGGGTTAACCCGCGCCCATTGGGGCGGCATCTTTTCTGCACATGTGTAAATTTCAGACCAAGGTTACTCAACGTTATGTCACCAGGCTACTTTAAGTGACTTCACATAATAAAAAGTTGCAATGTCTGCCACCGAGTGACCGATCTCTTTGAGCTTTCAGCGATTGATAAGAGCAACTGTATGTTCAAAATAATTCATCTCAGAATTTTGATATCGGTGACCTAAGGCCAGATCAATTTTGTGACCTCCCCAATCCTCATTTTAAGCCAATGGGGGAAAATTGAAAGGTGCCTCTTTTGCGCGAATTTCTGACTTCTCTGCATCCACCCACCTCGGTTAGGTCTGGGACGCTGGGCGCCGACTGCGCTCGTGGCTCGGCGACCACCTCGCTGGTTTGGGCGGCGCGGCGAGGCACCAGCACAAACTCTGCCAGCGTCACGTCACTGCTGCCTCCGGACTCGAGAGGAATCGGGTGCAGCCGGAAATGCTCCAGCATGGTGAACACCGAGTTGAACCACAAATGCTGCACGCGACACTGCCGCTCCTCCGAGATGGTCAGCCGCACGTGCTGAAAAAAAAAACACACACGTCAGTGGCCATGCTTTACTCAACGAGCGGGGTAAGAGCCTCTTATACGGCCTTGGGTAAGAGGACGGGGTTCAGGTAAACGGGGTAGGTTCATGAGCTGTGGTAGCACGAAGTGTCCATCATCAAGTTCGTGGCAAACCAAGCACATCTTAATTGAAGGGGCAATACTGAGCATCGCCGTACCGCAAGTTATCAACATTGACGTACTGGTGACGTCACGGTCTTATGTGACGTCATTATTAGAATCAGCGCCGTTGCCTTTCCTCAAGCATTACATTTGATACCAGCATCTGCGATGCTGGGCTCCGCATCGCGGGACCGCAGGTTGTTTGAACACCTCGGGTCTCGTCGTGTAGAGTGCCAAACACCTGACATCAACCATCGACGGGACGACCAAATTGCTCCTGCCTGTGCATACGACCTGGCATTTCTGATGGAGGTGCGTGACCGGCTTAACAACAACACGGCTCGGGAAGTCGCCGAGACTATCCGGCGCAGTCTTCCCGCCCATGTCATCCGCCGTCATAATCGGCCACGCCCCCTCAGCCCAGTGGACGGAGCACATGGCCGGCCCGCTCGGCATACTCAGCGCCAGTCTAGCCGGCCGACCGACCCGCCCAAATTACTCATCGGCTCCCTGAATATTCAAAGCCTGAAGCCCAAAATTCAGGAGCTGACGTTTGAGCTCAATCGTCACAACTACGACGTCATGCTTCTGGCTGGGACCTGGCTGCGCTCGACCACCCCGAACCGCCTCCTGGTCATTCCAGGATAAACGCTCTGTCGTGTGGACCGCCCAGATGGTAGCGGTTACGGCGGTGTCGCAATTATCACCAAGGCTAAAACCACCTCAACCGCACTCAAGATCCCGGGCAGTGGGAGCTCTGCCAGCAGCCTGGAGTCACTGTGGGCGCTGCTAAAGCTTGAACAGGGCCGGCAGCTGATTATCTGCTCCCTGTATCGGCCACCCCGCAGTGAGGCTGCTCTGCTTGCCGACTTCACGGACCTCGAGGCCCAACTGCAACGAGTTATAATCGATTACCCTAGTGTTCCGCTTGTCATCTGCGGCGACTTCAACTGTCATTTATTGAAAGAGCCTAATTTCCGCGCCAGTCAACACCTAAGCAGCTTCCTATCAAATTACTCATTAGATCAATTAGTGACAACTGCAACATTTTCCTCCGGCTCGCTCCTGGATGTGTGTAATGTTAACAACCGTGAGCTCGTTGGCGACACCCGTGTTAAATATTGTCACTTCAGTCCTCACAAATTTATCGATGTCGTTGTGAATGTGCCGAAACTGCGTCAAAAGCCCACTGTTATCTCGTCTCGCTCCTTTAAGCGTTTAGATCACCCTGCACTGCATCATGACTTACTCGATGTTGACTGGGATTATCTATTCTCCGCCGAAACCGTCAGTGATAAGTGGGATGCTTTCTTGTCTTTCTTCGTACCTGTTTTCGATGCTCATGCCCCAATTAAGCGTGTGTCTATCCGTAACCCAACTGCTCCTCCCGTCTCCGTCGCCACTCGAGATCTCATGTCCCAACGTCGCGCTGCGCTCCGCGATTTAGGCCGCAACTCGAGCGAGTACAAAAACCTTAACCGCTCTGTCCGGGCGGCTTTGCGTCGCGATCGGCGGGTGGAACTACAGAGGGAAATCGAGGAACGGGGCCCCAACAAAGTTTGGCAATGTATCAGGTCGGTGGTTGCCGGTAAGAAGGATGGTTCTGATGTTCAGCCTGACCTATCTGCCAATGACTTAAATTCTTTCTTTGTATCCGTCGGTCCTCGTGTCGCTGCCGAGATCCGAGCCCAAAACGCACCTACCGATTTGAATGTACGTCTTACCCTTGTTGGCGCATGCAGTTTTCAACTTCGGGAAATCACACTTGCCGAGCTTGAGCAGACGATTTTCAGCATGCGTAGCTCGGGTGCTTGCGGTACCGACAGTGTCTGCGTTCGCATGCTGAAAGCCGGATTCCGAGCTATTGGTGGTGTCATCCTGCATATTATCAATACCTGCTTAATTCAATCCGATATCCCCGATTCATGGAAACATTCCATTGTTCACCCTCTGCTCAAATCCGGCAATCCTTCAGACCCCGCAAACTTCCGGCCCATTTCCCTGGTTCCTATAATCATGAAAGTGGTTGAGCGCATTGTCCATCAACAGCTCTACATCTACCTCTCTCACAATCACCTTCTGGCATTCTCACAGCACGGCTTCCGCCCCCGGCACCCTACTGAAACCGCGTTGTTGTCCGTCACTGAACGCATCCTGGCCGCCACCGACAAGGGGGAGATCTCAATGCTATGCCTTCTCCATCTTAGTAAATGTTTTTTTGACGTGATAGACCACGAGCTTATGATGCAAAAACTTATGCTGCACGGTATCGAAATTTCCTGGTTCGCCGCCTATCTTCATGGACACACCCAGAGCGTGTCGTTGAAAAATGGGTCCGGCAGTAGAGTGCTGTCTCGGCCTCTTCCTAATACCATGGGTGTCTTCCAGGGCTCTGCGTTAGGGCCGTTACTTTTCACCATCTTCTCTAACAACTTATCGCTGTACGCGGGTGATGCAGTAGTCTTTCAATATGCCGACGACACCCAAGTATTGGTTAGCGGTCCTGCCAGGGACCTTGGAGTTCTCATCTCGCGCATGGAGGTTTCGCTCGCGTCACTCAACGAATGGTTCTGCGCTAACGCCCTAAAGGTCAACGCCAGTAAAACACAGCTCATTGTCTTCGGCAGTCGTCAAAATTTACGCAAATTGCCAGATTTCAGGGTATCGTTCCGTGACGCCGCGTTGCAGCCGTGCGCGCAGGTGGGGAACCTGGGCGTCACTTTTGACAGTACTCTATCCTGGGACGCTCACGTCTCCGAACTCAGCCGCCGGTGTACGGGACTGTTGATCGGTCTCTCCCATGCGCACCACAGTCTCCCGGATGGCATCATTAGAACGCTCGTGACAGCACTCGTTATCTCACGCATCCAGTACTGCCTCTCAGTTTATGGCAATGGGTCCCAAAAAAATTCGATCGTCTCCCAAAAAAAATTGAACTTCGCTGCTAGAGTCATTTTCGGTCGCCGTAAATTTGCCCATGTCTCTGACCTGCGAAAAAAGCTCGGGTGGTTGTCCCCGCGTCATATGGCTGATTACCAAACCCTTGTTATCGCCCACAAAGCCATTCAGCGCGGCGAACCCGAGGAATTGGCAGCCATGTTCGTCACAAACAGCGCTGTCCGGGAGAGACACTCCAGGCAAGACCACCTCTTTCACCTTCCGCGACCACGGCTGGAAACGGGTAGGCGGCGGCTCGGCTATCGAGCCGCAGCTCTACTCAACAGTCTCCCAACTCAGCTGTCGCAGCTGTCTCCCGCCCCCTTTGCCCGATCTGTTAAAGCCGCGATAGTGGACAGGGCATCAACTGATCGTCGCTGACCAACGGGTTGGTGGGTGGGTGAGTTGTACCTGTGGTACTACGAAAGTGTCTCTGTCCGTGCTTTGACGTGAGTGAATGTGTGAATGCTGTGAATGTTTAGATTAGTAACCGCGGATACGGATTCTGAGCAGTAATCGCCACGCACTTTCAGAATGTGGATCGCTCATGATTGTTCAATACAATACAATACAATACTCATTGATAAACACCGCAAAAACCCTAGCAAAAAAGTCCTATAGGACTGGCGATGTGTCCTATAGGACTAATAGGATTCCTATAGGATTTTGTCCTATAGGACACTTTTCTATAGGATTCCTATAGGTTTCCTGCAGGATATTGTCCTATAGGACACTTTCTTATAGGACTCTATAGAAAACCTGTAGGACATTTTCCTATAGGACATTGTCTTATAGGAGTGCTATAGGACCCCTATAGGAGTCCTATAGGACACTTTCCTATAGGACTGCGATCAGAGATTGTCCTATAGGACTCTTTAGTCTGAAGGGAGTCCTATAGGACCTCTATAGGACTCCTATAGCACACTTTGCTATAGGACTGCGATCAGATAATGCCCTGTTAGAACTCTTTAGTCTGCACGTAATCCTGTAGGATATCTTTTGGACAGTTATTTTTCGAGACACTAATGGATCCTTTGGGACACCGTCATACATTTTTGCCTTGGGACTCCTATTCACGAGCGCAGCACAATATCAGAGGGGGTCGGTCAACGCCTGAGATACAACATGTGCGCGTTAAGTGTATGAGGTCTTTTGTAGCAAAGGCGACGAATGAATGCTGAAACTTGTATGTGCGTGCGTGTGTAGGTGCGTGTGCGTGTGTGTATGTGTGACCGCCGGTCATACACATCCAATCCCACTGGCTGAAAAAATTAATCGATCGCGCCACAGTTTTACAATATATTCTTCATAACCACCATTAAACATAAGCTTTGCGGGATGTGTATAATCTCACTGAGCACAAACTTAGCCAGTGACGACAATATATCGCACACAGCGCCTAACAACATGCCATACACACGTTTGCAATGCAGCAAACAGCGGAGGACAGCCATTTTTGCATACATATCTGTCTTGAACTAAAAAAGCGCACGTTAAAGTTTCTGACCACAAACCGATACAAAAGCAAACAAAAAATACGGTGGCAGAAAACACATCAGCATGATCTCCCTCCCTCCTTTCACTTCTCCCTCCGAAGAGCCAGTGTTTTCCGGATCTTAAGGCTGAAACAGAGACCTTCCGCAGTCAGGAAATCGCATGCGTGAGCCTATTCAAATAAATCAGAATCCTTCTCGCATCAATCGCATGCGGATGATGCTTGCAATATGTTTTGGTGCAAGACGCGAGCGTGATTCACTGTAGTTGAATAGGCCCTCGCATGCGATTTCATGGCTGCAGAGTCTGTTTCAGTCTTCAGTCCTTTTCGTACCGATTTGGCTGTAAACAGCACAACAAGCCGTTTCGTGAGGAGCGCACCATCACTGCGTTTCCATGCATGTCACCTGGCGATAGTGCCAGCACAGATCTCGTTTCTTGAACTTTCACAATGTGCGCTACACTTGGTACAAAAGGAGTCGTTTCACACTTCGCGCAGAACACATGACAGCGGGCATCCCCAGCCGGTCCGATAAACACAATGTCGTTGACAACACAAACGCCTCTAGCGGTGTTAACCGTGAAGCTGTTGCGCTTCATCGCAGAGCCATATGCTCTGGTGCAAGTGACACGGCCATTTACAATCGCTCGACCATACGCACGGACAGGAATGCGGTGGTCCGCTGTCGCAAACCCCGACACGGCGAGAAGATCTTTCTCTACTAGCGTGAGGTCGCGGTGCACTGGTGCCCCAAGCCCCAACACATCGTCAATGGATTTCTCAGCCCGATCAGTCAGCGAGTATCCCCGCAGCCACCTCGTCACTAAGCGATCTACGCTCTCGTCTCCATCCCCAGCCGACCGTCGGTCTTCTTGCAGCGCAGATACCATACGAAACAGAATAAAATTGTCTGCCATCTGCTGGGCCATGTGGTTGGTGCCATGACAGAATTTTAACAACGTCCGGTTGAATCCCTCGAAGGGAAACATTGAAGTCGCCCACAAAGGACCACAGTTGCGCACAGCCTTTGCCAGGTGCAACAGGGTATGTACGTTGTACGACATCTGTTCCGTTCCATATAACCGCGCAGTCTGTGACACAAACTCCTTGAGTTTGGCGTCCGCATCGTCGACATCTTGCATGGAGATGCTTCCACTCAAAAGCATGAACATGGCCGAGACCAGCGATGTCCAGTGGCGAAAGGAGCGGTCTGGAAGGACGCCACGAAGAAGTGGCAACGAATAATACAGAAGCCAGTTCCGCCACTTTGTTGCAGTCCACTTCTTGTACGTTGAAAGAGAGCGAGGGAGTCTGGAAATATCATCCGGGGGACGAATTTTGGTGAGGTCGTCGTCCAGCTCTTTCATCGATCTACGAATGCAGAAGGACTGGTCGTTTGGCTCGAACCATAGGCAAAACAGCTGCCTAGTCACCCCCAAGAGGACACAATGCATGTAGTCCACAGGAAAACCATTGACTAGGTCCAGCTCAACACAAGGCGGAAGTAGGTGGAGCGGAGAGACCGAAGTTACGCCTTTGTAGTGCTTATCCATAGAGGTCAATGCTCGTTGCCCATGTCTGATGAGGCTTTGATTGGTGCGTTGGGGAACGTCTTCCTCGTACGGATAAGCACGACAAAACCCATGTCCAGTTGCTACCCTGGTGCCGGCCTGCAGGCACCATGTGCATCCGTATTCACCGTTGAATTGGTGAATCGCTTGCACCATGCATCTCGCTGGCGAGTCGCACATCGTCATCAGCGGAATCACCTTTGTGACTTTCGTACCGTCCGTTGGGTGCACCCAGTTCAAGCCATGCGTGCTAAGAGAGGTCAGTTCATCTACAAAAGGCTGACACATGGTTGACCAGAGAGGCTTGGACCTGCCATACCAAATGCCACACATAAGCATTTGGTCCTTCCTGACCTCAGGCCTGAGTTCATTAACAGTAGCCAAAACGGGCCACGCGGATGCACCAGAGGTTTCATGCACTAGAAGGCCATCAAAATTCCAACTGATGGACAGAGCTGAAAGATCTCCCTTTCCCAGCAAAGAGTGCTTCTTGTATAGCTCCCCATCGACAATATCAGATATGCGAGATCTCTGCCTTTCATTTCTCAATAGGTTTTTGGAAATGTATCCCGTCTCCAACAAATCGCGCAGCTGGTCTGCTAGTGAAAGGTGAATAAAAAAATGTCCTTCTTTTTTTGCCTCCTTCATCGAAAAAGGCGTCCCGCAGTAGTCACACATTTCCTGGTCAGCTTTAACATATGCTCTGCACTTCTCATTTAGACAGTAATAATGGAATGACCTTCGCTCGTGCCGGCTGGCGATACTCTTCATCATGAGGTATCTCGTGGGAGGCATTTCGCACGACGAACTGGATATGACATTCATCAGTTCCACTAGATCCGTCATGGCCGAATTTGACAAACCATGTCGGAGGCCAAAACTTAACACCAGGCTCACCAGCTCCTCTGAACTTATATGTGGTGCGTCACTGCAGTTAGCATCCTTTCCGGAGCAGTTTGAAGCGACTTGAGATGCACCATCATCATCTTCCACTTCTTCATTGACCCGTCTTTTCAGGGAAGGCCGACCAACTGGGATGTCTGCCTGCGGAGAAAGCATGGATGGGAATAAAAAATGTGCACCAGGCTACAGTGATGCTTCTGAATCGAATGACGTAATATCGACATGACATCTAGCTTACCCCTAGCTAACGATCATTCTCTTACTAAATGGCAGGCCTGATCCCATTGTCGCGGATCCCAGTGTTGATTTCCACAAACAAATACAGTGCCTATTAGGTCATTCATGCTGTAATTTAATTTCATTCATGCTGAAGGCTTAATTATGCTTATTATGATTATAATGGAAATAAGATAGAAAAGAAACCTTTTGCTCACAACTTAGGTAAGCAAACAACAAATTCACTCATTTCTGGTTTTCTTAAGTACTTAATGCGCAAAAAGTTATTTTTCCACATCATTTCAACTTAATTACTTGATACATTTATTTACCTACTAAAACTGAGTACATACAAACATTTCTTTTCTACTGGAGTACGAGTATAGGTAAATACTGTTTCTACAGCCCAATGTACTGCCTACCTGACAGGGTAGAGCATCTGCTAAATCTCCAGGCTCTGAAGATGTACCATCCACCACTGGAGCTAGCACGTTGTTGTCCAGTGAAACTGACTCCTGGACGTTTTCGAAGTCCTGTAAGTCAGGCATAATATTATTGTAGGTTCAAGCCTTCACTTATATAGGTGTCAATACCAGATTAAAGTAGCATACAATCTGAAGGACTTAGATTTCATTTCTACAGAAACAGAGGCTGAACAAATATTGCAAAAACAAAGCTTCAGTTCAACTCGATATGAGCTGAGACAACTGGCCTAATGCTTAATCCGGGCCGTTCTGGTGGCCTTCGTTTTCCGTGTCGTGCTGGGGGGGGGGGGGGCAGGGGGCAGGGACGTTTTCACAGCTGCCCCCGTCTAGCTCGACTCCTGGGCCATGCAGCGACACGCGGTAAGTGGCAATTGAAAGCGAGCCCAAAAACAGGACAAAACACTTCAGTCATTTTTTAGGTCAGGTAAAAGGTCAGGTCACCTGGTCGCCATAGGTCAACTTTCGGCTATTTCAACAATTTTAAAACAGCTACCGACTAACATGAAAACCAATAGAGCAAGAGCACCGCGGAAAAGCAAATATGATAGCACTTTCAAAGGTGTTTCTGTTCCCTATAGCAAGGCGCGGGTTATGTTATAATAATTGGTTTTCAAACTTGTTAAATTTGGTGAATACAAGCTAAAAGTTACTTTGAACAAACTTTCGTGAGAACTTACTTCTTCGCTACTAGCAGCACATGAGAGCTCAGAGGTGCTTTGTTGGCTATCCACATCAGACAGTGATCTGTCACTGTCATCAGCAATATCACTTGCTGCTGATGACAACTCAGAAGCTTGATTGTATGATGAGCTGGATGATGTGTCACAGCTATCAGCTGACAGCCCCTCATCAAGCACTTCCACGTCAGACATATTACAGTCTGGAAGAATAAAATGGATTGCTGTAATACTGGGAAAGCAGTTGAATGTGAAAACATAACTACAATTCAGACATGTGCATGGATATGATAAAATGGATCTGGGATCTGATCCCACAGCTCCTGATCTTGGATCCCATGGTATCATAGATTCACCCGCTATGTTTTTGGAAAGATCAACAGGGCTCATTAATTTGAGTCTTATTTTCTTACTTCAGATCCAGTGAGATCATAGATCCCCAGTGATTTTTTTGTCAACATGTAAATCCCACAAAATCACTTGTTGCAATTCACAAGCCTTCTGTTTTAGTGATTTTCAGTGATTGCCTGTAATTATGCATAGTTTGTTAGCACTTACTGTCATAAAAACCCTCGGAAACATGGTTCTAAATAGTTTTATGATAGGATCTGCTCACATCATACATCTGAATGCTCTTAGTTTACCATCAGATCCTATGAGATCATAGATCCAGGATACATGTTTAGCTTCGGATCTGGTGGGATAATAGATCATAAACTGCAAATTCTGTCAAGATCCACTGAGATCATAGATCCATCACTCAGATCAATGCACATGTTTGCTACAATCATGTAACACACAACAAAAGCTAGGAACATAACACCAGTAGTTTATAACAACCCTGCAAAAAAGTGGCATGACTGATGCACTTTTTGCACTTACTGTTTAAAGGGACCCTCCCACCTTCAAAAAAGTTAATGAATTGGCATGAAAGTGATGTCGCTCGGTTCAGAAAGAGCAAAAACGAATATCTACCAAATTTCATCGAAAAATATTCACCGGTTTTCAAGATATTAGACTTTTACTTTTGTTTACTTTTTGGGATCTCCGCTGTTCCTAGCGACTTTATTTGAAAGTGCGGCATTTGTTGCGCGCAAAGCAGCATATACCACCGCGTGCTACAAAACGTTATAGTCAAACATTAAACGGACGTTCGAAAGCCTGATGACGTCATCAGATTCCCGTAATGGTTAAGAGATAGGGACCACGCTGGTCCCACCCTGCAAGTAAAGGGAAGAAATTTCTTGAACACCATAAAGCTGCGGGGGTTGCGACCAGGATAAATGGTGGTTTCTGAGCCTGGCCGCAAACTTGGCTATCTCAACTCAAAACTAATGTTAAGGTGGGAGGGTCCCTTTAACGGGCCACCGCTGTTCCCATACCTCATTTTCAACTCAGCAAAAACTTTTTAACTTGTGAGGCAAAAATTAGGTACACACAACTCAATTTCAGGTTAATATTAGACTCAATCTATCGTCCGGATGAAGATATGCCCCTCTTGCACAGAGACTAACCCCAAATTCGCAGTCTCATTGGACGAATATTTCTACAAACTTGGCAACGTATTTAGATTGGGATTCATATTTGATATTAATGGTCTGAGCGCTATTGCATAAAACTTACGACACCGGATATTTTACGAATTGTCTTAGAATCGTACTTATTCTACGCCAATCTGTTTCACAAAGGTCTTGAAAATAGTACGGAGAGCAAGGAATTTACTCCAGCACGTGACGTAACTTTTGGGGGCTTCTGTTGCATATAAGTTAAGATTTAAGAAAAAGTAGTTCGCCAAAACGCGCAGAAAATGTCGCAGATGCGCCAAATGTGTAAAAATCGTAAAATATTCTACGGAGGGGGTAGGCTTCTTAGATTTTAGCCGAAAGTCGGCTATTGCAGCTGTTTGACACCGAATTCCAACTTTTTGAGTCCTTATACAGTTATGAATGCATATGAAGGTAACTCCTTAACACACTGATGCTTTCTTATCCTCGAACAATTTATAGAAAGACTGCAACCGCACCTCTCATTTCTCAACCAATGCGATAGCATGATATAAGCATAGTCGTACCCGACAATTGTACTACAACGGTGGTGACTGACGTTAGACCACGCTCGTAGCTCGTTTGAGGAACTGCAGACGCATTAGTCATCAAACATATCAGCCGTGTCGATGTTTATTTCTGGTTCCCACATTCCGTTGACGATTTTAGTGAACATCCAAACACACTCGCCTCAGATTCTAGCACGTATGTACCATACGTATTCAGAGAACGTCTGTGCACCAATACGGCCGCGATTCAAGTTGAGCTAGAGACCCACGTAAACTTGACATGTCACTGTAATCGTAACACGAAGAGCGCTTTTTAAAAAAGGGAACAAATGATGCTGAGCTTGCACAGCCTCACTTTTCCCGAGTGCGCCAACACCGGGATAAGACGCTGCTGATAGGACGATTTCAACGAAGGTAGTGACTCTTGGCGTAGCAGCCGCCATCTATCGGCGATTTATCAGAGCCCTCTGTCGGCTGAACCCAGCGGGATTCTTCAACCTTCATGTAGAACAGCCGAATGCCGTGGTCAGAAGACTCCTCCACGACACTGGCGGTCGCAGCCGCTCGCAAAAGGGGGGGCCAAAGTCACACTCGCGGGACATAACATTTATCAGTCACTGGGGGGGGGGGGGGTGATCGGCTAATTTTTTACGTCCACGAGGCGCCGCGCAGTTGGCATTACTTATGCTTCATCCACCTCATTCTTGCGTGAAATCTTTAAGCATTTAAGGCAAAGGCACCAGTTCCATTTCCCGTCCCACGGTGTTTCCACCGGTCGGGCCACTGCACCACGGCGACGGATCGGTGTAGCATATACTGGAAGGTCGGGTCGGGCACGCGGATTCATGACCTTACCAGAATAAAACAATTCGGAAAAGTACGGATACCTCTTGCTTTGAACAAGCATGTGAAACCCAGAGATCATTTTCAGACTACGACATTTACCCATATAGCTGTTTAGCGGCGGGAGAGAATAGGTACACCGACCTCTGGAGACCCCCAGCCCCACAGGTTCCTGGTTTTCAAAACTGGCATCTGAGGGCCGCGCACGGCTCGCGCGGGGCCTCGCAACGGCTCTATTGGGGCTCACTCAGCCTGCCTTATAGTCCTACTGCTAAAAAGACTGGCCCTGAGCCCTAAAGACTTCATCAGTCTCTGCCAGCCCCAGGACCAACACCGGCTCATGGGGTCCCGACGTCGAAATATGAGGGAATCTGCGCGGGACCATCAGGACGTAAAGTAATCTCGATCAGGACCAACGTACGGCTGTGCAGGAGTCTGCGTGAGCCCTGTGATCTTCAGAAGCCCACCCATGTATGTTTTCACTTAGAGGCCAGTTTAGGGCCCTCCTCAGAGACCAGTACAGGGCCTGCAAACTGCAAAGGCCAGTAGTTTGAGACTATCAGAGACCGAGTTGGGCTCTCGGAGGCTTATGTGGGTCCTACTCATTACAGGCCAACATGGGGCCCTCAGAGGTCAGCGTGGGGCCCTAAAAGACCGGAATGAGCCGTCGTTGGAACCCAGAGGCCAGCAGAGGGCCCTCAAAGGCCAAGATGAGCCCTCCTCAGAGGCCAATGCAGGCCCTTAGAGGCCAGCATCGGGTCTTCAGCAGCCAATGCGGGGCCCTCATTGGCACCTAAATGTTCGTCTTGGGACACCAGAGACAGCAATAAGGCCACTAGAGACCGGTGTGAGACCCTCAGACGCCGGTTGGGGCCCCTGAGGCCGGTAAGGGGTCCTCATAGGTCAGATGTGGGGCCTCAGAGGTCGATGTGGGCTCTTAGCGGTCAACGTGGGCGCTTGACCGCCACTGAAGTTCCCTCAGAGGTCAGTGTTGGACGCTCAAAGACCGGTGTGGGCGTGTTTTTTTAGCCTCGTGACGATCGAATCAGGGCCAGGGTCCCATACACCTATGGGGGCCCATCGGTTGCTTGAGGGGGGGGGCAAATGATATGATGGCCCCCTTTATGTGCCTTGGGACTGGGAGGGCATGGCCCTGATGCCCCCCGCGACCGCCACTGTGTACACATTACATACAGGCCTCTGAAATTACATACTAGCTAATGCAAACTCTATGCAGGCCCCGGAGATCCCACGCTAATCCTTAAGAAACCAAGCCGGCATACGGCGTCACCACCGGGCTTCTGAGGTGCACAGCACCAACCCATGAGGTCTTACTTTAGTGTCTTAGAGCCACGCTCCTTTGGCAGGGCCCACCCGCCACTGCCGAAGAGGTCTCATGCCAGCCATTGCTGGGCCTACGAGAGCCTCAAGTAAACCCACGCTGATATTTCATGTAAGATGCGGCCATACTCGTGAACCGATGCCAGCGACGCTGACCGCCAAATTGACAGAATACGAAACTTACCCCACTCATGAGTGAAATTTACGTCCTTTGATGGCGCAAGAAAGAAAATGAAACATACAAAAAGCTTTTCTAGGACTTTTGTTCGATCTGAAAGGTGGGGCCAAAAGATAGTATGGCCCCACCTTTCAGCACCAAAGGGGGGGCCATGGCCCCCGTGGCCCCCCCCCTGGGACCGCCAGTGCTCCACGAAGTCGGATAGAAATTCCTGAAACAGAAATAAAGATGTCGGTAAGTATCAGAAAGACTAGAACGAATGGATTGAGAGGAGATCATTTTCGAAGGCAAAGTGGCTGACAGAGCATGAAATAGGAGAGAGGACTGAGGGAATCAGGAAAGAGGCGATACATATAGACAGAGGCGGAAAAAGTAAATCGAGCGAATAATGAACTTTTTATGACACCATGTATCTCCTCGCTCTCAGCCTTCTTTGAATGCAAGCATAAAGGTCTGTGACTGTGCCCTGCTATACTGGTAAAGTTGACTTTTTAAAGCCAATTTTAGCCAATGCATTTAATTAAATTTAATTAGCCAATTTTAGCCAGTGCCATTTAATTAAATTTGATTAGCCATGTCATTTAATTAAAGCCTGGGAATTGAAAGTAATCAGCAATTCACTGGCAGATTCAGAATAGTCCAGTAGGTATCTAGATGCTATGCTGATATGCCCTTAATGCTTACGTTTGAAACTGAAAAATATCACGCAAGCCCACAGACGAATAGGTAGGCATTCATCTTGTAATACCTAGCTTAAATGCATTCTGTTTTGTGCCTACTAATTCAACGCGCGAAAGCATGTTGCTTGCAAAAAATATATAATTAAACGTAATTTTGTGGATTTTGAAATGATTTTAATGATAAGACACCTGACACCATATCAATATGATATGGCATTTCAACATACCTACCTAATTGTAGATAATGGTGAAGAAAAAAGCGACAGAACATTGGAATGTTGCGAGTAATTGAGGGCTGAGGCTAATAAACACGATGCCAAATTCAAAATACACCAAAAGAAAATATAGATCAGGAATTGTAGCGGCATTAGCTTTAACCATTAACTATTGAAAAAGCTCACGATTGGTCTGAAAGGGCTGAGCAGTGAGCAGTGTGCTGCCAATGAACCGACAATTGTTCACTAACCATTCGCTATACTAGAAAACTTACTTGTTAGTCTGGGCCCTGGTTATCTTAATTCTTCATTTTCAGCCACCAAATGATGATCTTGTTCGATCTTGCAAGCCAAGCTGGACACTTGTCTTGAAATTCTTCTTTGGAATGTTGTTTACTTTCGTGTCCTACCTAGCAACCACCGGACGGCGAGTGTACAAATCTCAGCTTACTTAATTGGCGAAAGGTGGCAGTAGCAGCTACGGCACTGTTCTAGACGGATACAGTGCACTCAGTTCTATGCAAATTTATGTAGAATATCGACTGAAACCCATAGTGAGGGCAAATTATCTATGATCTTAGAATATCCCACACTCCCAAGATGCCACGATCGATGTTGTTTACCAAGCCGACCGCCGCTTGATGTGGGAGGGCGCATGAATATTGAAAAGTACGAAAGGTTTTCTAAAGTCGCTATCAATTCAAGGTGATTTGAACCACTTATCCAGACAACGTGATTCACACATTTCAGTACACTGGAACTTTAATCGCTTTCATTATTGTCACCATTCTTCTGCATTTCGTGCTGAAATCCGGCACTATTTTCATTCATGTATGACGTCATACCTAGATTTTCCAAATATTTACGAAGTAGGTCACGGCCTTTATGCAACAGGTTTTACGGTGTTTCGTAGAGTATGGCCGTTTCGTAAAAAAGTTAAGATCTACTCCGGTGGCGTAAATCTTATGTTTATGCAATAGCGCTCAGGTCTGCAGAACCACGTGAAAACAATTTTGACTTGTGTCTCTGTGCAAGAGGGGCCTATCTTCTCCCAGACGAAAAAGCGAGTAATATTAGCCCTGGCACACACAGCGATAGATAACAAGTTAAAGATTATTGCAGGGCCTAAATATGGCACTCTGTACTTCATCTACAAACATACCAAAACATACCCACAACTGTTCCGCACAACAACAGGGCAACCTATCTCAAAATAAATTGGAACAGGATTTCGAGCCCTGAAGACAATGGCCTCCTCCCTTATATACTGCCAGTCATATAACTATTCTATTTATAACCTATTTGGCCTTGCCTTCTCCCACCTATTGTCACTGTTATTGTTTTGGGTCAGGGCGCGTATTCTCACCTGGTAGCGTTCACCAAGCGGATCAACCAGCGTAGCTTAGTAGCTGCTCGGTTCGTGCGTCCGTCAAAGTGTAAGGACAATGCGCTGAAACATGCATGGTCATCCGTACACAAAGCGTATAAAGTTGACAATTTCCAGGTAGAAAATGACGTCATAGAATCACACGCTACTTTCACTCATGCATAAGCCTACTGGTAAATGTTGTGCAATGAGAATGTAAGCTGTGCTACAACTGAATGTATGCTTTTGCCACGATTGATTTGCTTTCAATCAAGCTGACTTTTGCTGTTCTTCTGGCCTTGTCATCAGTACCTTCAAAAATTATCTATGACGTATTTAAAGGTAGGTTGAAAATGATTGTATGTTTTCGTAAATAGTTGGCGTCCAATGCATGTAAACCGGTGGCGTCGGAACAGCGATGGCGTCGGAACAGCGCTGCATACCTACCAATATTTTTATTTTTAATCTTTTTTTTATTGGCTCTTAATGTGGTTCAGATTTTCATGTGAATTGAGAAATCGAAGGCGTAGCTCATTGGTTTTCATGCGTTTCTCGAAAAACAAAAGTTTCTATTTTGTAGCATATCAAAATTTAAGTTATTTGGCATACGGGCAAAACTAAGACTTAATTTTTAAATCAAAATTTATTTTAAATTAAAAAGAAAAATTCATCAACTTAGCACCTGAACAAAAAAATAAAAATAAAACTATTTTCCCAAAATATCGCATGCCACGGCGCCATGCTGTCTTCCGGTAACTGGGTCAAGGACGCCCGGCGCCACCGTTCATTGCGGTTTGTGATACGGCCTTGGAGGTGGCGGCATTGAGCTTATACGGCCTTGGCATTGAGAGCAGGAGCTGTGTGCGGATTTTTTTTTAGCTTCGACATGTTACTCCTAGTGCGCTGGGCCGAATTTCCTCCTAAGTGGTCTATCATTAAGCCAGGACATGTTCAAAGCGTTAATGGAATCGCATTCAGATACACCAAGGGCTCAAACTTGGACGATTTGGTTGGGCAGAGCGTCAAAGTGATGTGGGGGAGGCAGCTGGAGCAGGGCCAGGTTGTGCGGACAGGTAAGGCGGTAACACTTACAGTGTTGGTGTTTTGAAATGGGCTTGTTCTGGCAACATGCCAGAACAAAATGGTAGGTGCCCATTGCATTTCATTCATGATTCCATTTCCATCGTCGCATGTTTGACTGAATTTTCATGAACACTGGATATTTTGGTATATGTGAAGATAAAGTCAACAACTTCTGAAGGATAATTTTTCATATTCTTAAATAATTTGATGTCTGATCCAAAAATGAAACGTTTCCCGAATTAAGGAAAATGAAAATCAAACCTGACCTAACCCTACTGTTGCATCTAAAAACTTCTGTTGATATTTATCCATGTTGCAATTGTAATTGGAACCTTATCTTGACAAATACCTACTTTTATTTTTAGTGACTGTGTTCAGGTGTAGAAAAATGATATATTGATCTTTAAAAGCATTTTTTCATGTTTAATATGTAAAATTTCATAACATGTAGGCATTGTATTGTCTTTATATCTGATTTTTAAAATAAGCTCAAATGTCAAGGTGATTAATATCTGGATTTTTTTTGCCAGCTGCAGTGACGTGGTGATACTAGCAGAGCTGTCACATCAGTGCATGGATAGAAAAGTTAACATCTATATCTAGTTACCTACTGCTAGTTTGTTTATTTACTTTCTGTCCTAATATGTAAATTTTAATGGATCTACTATCACTATGAGTATGGCATCAGCTGGCCAGCCAGGTGACTGAGTCTAGTTTGTAGGGCCGAAAAGTCCTGCTTATATTTACAATTGTCATTTGCACCATAATTGTATCCTGCAGCCTTAATGCAAATGGCGACTTCATAACAGGTGAAGTTGCTGAAGATTTGGGTAGAGTTTCTGGAACTTTCTGGAGGTGCTGCAATGCTGACTGGAGAATTCTGGTGCTTCATATGATTCCGGGAGGCATTGCAACAGGCCAGTTACTGCCTGGTTCATGTGTTTCAAATTAAGGGGTGATTTGGTGGTATGTACTGCTGTGCGTGCATCTACTGCACTTTTAATTTTAATTATGCCAAATTATTGTTTTGAAATGACGTCATACGAACAGCAGAGGTTCCGAAAAGTAAATAAAGGATAAAGGATAATATATTCTTTAATACAAGTAACTATTTTTCAGTTAAATTGTCATTTTTGATCTTTCTGAATCAAGGGGCATCACTATTATGTCAATTCATGAACTCCTTTAAGGTGGAAGGGTCTCTATAAGCAGGTGACAGCATGGCATGTGACACCTCCTGTAGGACAATCCTTCAGTTATGCATAAACCATCATTAAGTGCATAACGTCCAATGGTATCCATCAATGTTAACTTACAAGTGGCCTTACCTAACCTTTACTGTTTCCATCTACCTTACCTCATATTATATATATATGTTACAGGCAAAGTGAAAACTCGGGCATTTTGCAAAATGCCTAGGCAATTTGCAAAATGCCTGACCGGCCAGGCATTTTGCAAAATGCCCAGGCAGTTTGCAAACTGCCTGACCCACCAGGCATTTTGCAAACTGCCTGAAATATTTTCCCAGGCATTTTGCAAAATGCCTGACACCAAACTCGCACTAGCGACGATGTATAGGTAAGCATCATTTGTAACTGCCGCTTACAAAAGTTAATCGCTGTCAATGCGCACCAGGGCCCTGTTTCACCGGTGATAGCAGCACGCTGCTTTTACGACTTGTCAAATTGGGTTTCCATGGAGACATCAACAGGCCCATTGCTCCAACACTACCACAAGTGTGACGTCAGCTCGCGCAATTTGATAGCAGCGTGGTAGTAGCATCCCGTGAAACACCGCCCGAGTGAGGGGACACTGCGTTCTCCGGGTGGCGCCGCCGAGTTCAGGTCACTGAGCCCCAGCGGCCGCCGTCGGGTGCCGAGCAACGGGCGTGGTTTCGTGGGTAAACATGCGCTCGGTACAATGATTGTACTGTTTCGAAGAGCTCTTGGTGGCTTTTTGGAAATACTATGGGTGGATATTGATCAGAAAAGAATACTCTTCCAATTTACGAAAATTTGATTGTTACACGTTTAGGTACATTATCAATCGTCTCTGCCGGAACAGCTGCCCACCAGGGCAGAATACTGGACATCGCAGCTTTTATACACACGGCTACAACTCCGCAAATACGAAAGGTACGGAGACGGTCGCTCAAGTCCATTCAGCGTTGGCTCCATCTCGACAGAATTGACGCAAAACGTATAGGTATACAGAGTGTCACGAACTTGATACGCGGTTGGCGCGGTCTTGTCCCTCCATGCCCCTCCTGAGTGCTGATTGGATGTAATTTGAACGGGTCCGGCACCAGGGCATCTGGACCAGGGCACTCGGCATCTAAATCGGCCATCCCCCGGTATCTGAAGATTTTACCCTGAAGCTGAAGCCGCTCAACCTCAGGCTGCAACCCTGACTTACCGTCATCCGTAAGTGATGCAGCTGGATTTCGACAAAACCCACCAAATCTGGACCATTCAGGACTAGAGATTCAGACTTTTCAATGATGAGGCCGTGAGGCGATATTAGCCGTTTTCACGACGGCCATCTGGTACACATTTGGTTCACATCTGGTGTAGATTAGGTGCATATTTGGTCAAATTAGGTTCAGTGTGTCTCTTAGTAGCTATCAGCTAGGGTTGTACTAATTGCTCATATACCTCCTTTGTCATATTATCAGAGAGCATCATCGGTTAAAACACTGAAATAAATTCATAGAATAAAGATATTTGCTGTATTAAGAGAGATTAGGTGCATATTTGGTCAAATTAGGTGCACTCACCGGATAGCCCGTCGTGAAAACGGCTATTAGAGCTCTTCTAAGTCACTAACCGTCCCGACAAGCAGTTCTGGGCCAACAGCAGCTCAGAGGCGCTGCACCGTCGAGACGGTGAAGCACCCACTGGGCACTGGGGATTCTCGTTTGGGGCATGATGGGCTACAGAGGCCTATTTGAGCTTCACCAGGTGCCGCGAGGACAGACCATGTGGCCGCTGATAACTTGTCAGCGAGGTGCTGGAGAACACTAACGCAACTACGATGCAATACATTTCGGGACACCAGTACAACATCCCGCAACAATTTCGTGACACCCGTATTCGTGACCGTGGAATGTGTCAATGTGAACACAACACATGTGAAATGTGTTGTGGGGTCAGTCACAGTGGAACGTTTATGATCAACGGCTGTAGTCAACAAAAACGGTGGAATATATGGAAACCCACTCCCAGGCATTTTGCAAAATGCCTGGCGGGTCAGGCATTTTGTAAAATGCCTAGGCAGTTTGCAAAATGCCTGGTGGATCAGGCAGTTTGCAAACTGCCTGGGCATTTTGCAAAATGCCTGGCGGGTCAGGCATTTTGCAAATTGCCTAGGCATTTTGCAAAATGCCCGAGTTTTCACTTTGCCTGTAACATATATATAGGGCCTGTTCCAGCGCCTCCAGAAACCTCCAGAAAGCTCTAGAATCCTCCAGAGAGCGTTCCAGCGCCTCCAGAAAGCTCCAGAAAGCTCTCGCCAAAGCTCCAGAAACCTCCAGTAGCCTCCAGAGAGTTGGGAGGTCCAAATTTCTCTGGAGGCTCTGGTCTACAATCATGGCGCACATGTGACAATCACGAATATAATCAAAGAACTTTTGACTGAAAAATTTACAACTTGAATGTAAAGGAAATTACATTGCTATAATTTTGTTAATCTTTTTTACTAAAATGAACACAAATTTTGCATTTCAAGAGAGAACAATTGTCATTCTTTTGGTATCTATGACGCCAATCTCCAGAAATCTCCAGATTGCGTTCCAGCGCCTCCAGTGAAACCTCTGGTAGAGCCTCCAGTTAAGAATTTCTACTGGAGGCGCTGTAACAGGCCCATATATATATATATATATATATATATATATATATATATATATATATATATATATATATATATGGTGTTCATGGTGCTCGGTATATATATATATATATATATATATATACCGGGTGGCCCAGAAAAAACGTTCCCAACTTTAAATCAAGATTTCTCAGGAAGTGATAAAGATACAACATTGAAACTTCGCATAGTCAATGCGGCACACATTTTCAGTAAATGGTGTGATTTTCATGGTGTTCGGTAAATTACTTTTCAAACGGTTCGTGTTTCAAGCATGCTATGTAAAAATTAC